ACCCACACTTAATAAAAATTTAAGTATTAAGGGATTTAATTAAATTTTTCGTGGACTTGGAACTCTCGCATTTTGAAAAGAAAAAGACCCGGAATATAAGAATGAGGTCTCTGGACTTAAAATAATTTTTCTCATTTTATACAAATGAGTTCAGTACGAAACACGGGCTTCCGGAGCTCAAAATAATCAAAAGGGCCGCAAGGCACTATAAATTCGCACGCTGGGCCAAAATTGCTACGAAATTGGGCTTGGAGCGCGAAATGGCCCACCACACAAGGTTTCTGGGCTGGAATTTTGGCCTAAACAGGCTGGGGAATTTCGGGCCAGAGGGATCAGGTTCGCGGGCCGTTGCTTGGGTGAGGTGACGGGCTGCGCGGGCTGGAGTCGGGCCAAACACAGCCCGCGCACTGCTGCTGCTAACAGAGTAGAAAAAATAGGAAAAAGGAATTGCGGATGGTGAGGCTCGAACACAGGACCTCCATTTACCATATGGGCATACGACCAACTGGGCTGCGCGCCCGGTTAATACTTGAACTGAAATTATAATTAATTAGCTAAAAAGCCTGGGTCTAAAATTAACTGGACAGAGAGCAATTACGAGCAGGAAAACAGAACTTCTGTACAGCAACACAACTTCCGGCAACAAAATTTCAACTGAATTTCCAAACATAAAAATGATGACAGAGATCGAAATGTATGGGAAAAACGGGCTTGCTCGTAATACGAAACGACACATGACAGCTCGAAAGTTATACAAACAACAAACAACAAGACAACGGCTCGGGTAAGTACAACGAGATTTCGAAACATCAGAACGGGACTACGAAATTACACGATTTATCACAGCAACAACAAAGAGATTCCCACATATGAATGAGAGTTCCAATCCGCGTAAGTTTTCATAAAAATATTACCCGACGAACAAACGAATATATGAACCCATTAATACACCGAACAAGAAACAAGAAAATCAATTCACGGGGTATGAATATAATCGAACGAGCAACCACGAGCACTAATATATCGAGAAGATTCGCCGATTACCTCTCTTCGGGACGCTCGAGACTACTGGAACTCGAACTCAAAAAAATCTGGAACCCTTCAAACAGAGAGCTCAACGACAAAGCAAAATTGCTGCTCCTCGCGTTTGGTGACGAAGTGCGGCTGTTGTTCACGAGCAGATCGCTGTGTTTGGAGAGGACGCCGGTGATGGGCTGCTCACCACGTTGCCGGAAAAATTAAAGGAACAGATTTTTATTTTTAACTGACGAGAGCTTTTTGCGAGAGTGAACGGAATTTGAACAATTCTGATGAGGATAACACTCATCTGGCCGAGATATTATAGAGCGAGAGAGAGATGCGAAGGATCTCGCAAGAAGATCGTAACCGACGCGCAACAGACGAAGATGGGATGGACTCAGTCGCAGGGATAATTGGCGAGAAATAAGAATGGCTGCTGCATCTATGGCTAAATTGGGCCTCAAAAATAAATCCTTTGGGCCAAAACTTGAAAAAGGAATGGGCTAGATTTCATTTCGACATGGGCTGGAAAAATAGAGCTCATTCTTGGAGCCGAAAAAATATACACGCGGTTAAACCGAAACTCACCGAAATAAAATTAAAATTCGAACCAATTCAATCCTAATAATTCTAATACATATAAATAATAAATAATCACCCATATACACATAGATAATGACACATAGCATTTAAATAAAATAACATATAAAAGAGACGAGCAAACAATATCATAACCGACAACCAAATAACCCAAAGGCAAATAATCAATAATAAGCAAATAAATAATAATATAATATTCAGAAAATTCTAATAAATGAACGGGGCGCTACAGCCGTGTTCGAAAACAAGCCTTTCCGGAGACGTTGATTATTTTTTCGTTTTTGC